GTGTGATTCAGAGTTGTCTGTGCACAAACAATTCACTTTTATTGGAGTCACAACACTTTGTTTTACGCTTGGGTGTGCAAGCCAATTGGTAACACGGAGTGTACACGAAGCAAAACTCTACAGAAATACAGATCACAATTTCGTGCCTATTTGATAATACTCAAATCAGTTGCATTGACTGATTTTGTTAAAATTTTATGAACTTTCGGTTGAAGTGACTAAATTTACAGATTCTGATAATTTATGAAAAATTATATTTAAAATATATTTTATTAATTAAATAAAGAAAAATTATATGAAAAATAACTAAAATGTCCTCTACAGTAACTTCGATCAATACAGCCAGAAAAGTAATTTCATCCTTACTTTTTTTACTACTATACAATTCAACGTGCACAATAAAAAATTACGTATTTGGTGAAAAATTTGACTAATAAATCTGATAAATCAAAACACGGGTTCACCAAAGGGGCAAAGGGGCTCTTTATTTGTTTCGTGGTTTTCTTTCTCCAAATTTTTCTTACCTAAGCCACCCTAACAAATACACAGTTTTATTATAGAATCGGATTTACACATCAAAACAATTATGATTGAAACAATTGTTCTGTTCCAGATGTTTTGATACTATTATAGAAACGCTGTTACGTATCAAAAGAATGGGGAAAAGGATGGTCCTCGAACTTACATAAAAAGGTCAAATAAACCCTTATATAGGAGGCTCTGTCCGGCCGTCGCCATTTGGGGCGGTTCCCGGTGGAATTTTTTGATGAAACTTTTTGAACATTTTATTCATTAAGTGTAGTTTACTCGTACCAAATTTCATCTAAAACGTCAATTGGGAAGACATTCAAATGAATTCTTGAAGATAACTGCGCAATTAAAAGCGCAGTTATCTTCAAGAATTTATTTGAATGCTTTATCGATTGAATTGTTAGCTGAAATTTGGTATGAGTAAACTAGACTTAATGAATAAGATGCTCAAAAAATTTCATCAAAAAATTCCACCGGGAATAACCCTAAATGGCTGGGTTATCTACTCAGTGAGTACTCGGCGAGTACTCACCTCGGGTCCTTACCTTGCCGATTAGCAACTTAACTCGGTCCGAGTTAATTTTCCGAGTTACTCGCCGAGTACTCGGCGAGTTTTGCTACTCGGTCAACATCAGAAATCGGCGAGTACTCGGCATTACTCGTTTTTTTAAAAATTGAAGCACTACGGTTAGAAATCCTAAATTAAAACAAAAAAATAACGGAGTTCCAAGTCTCCGACTGCAACCTCGGCTCTCTTGGAGTTGCGCGACATCCGCTATCCCTTGAAGTTGAGACTGCGACATCGGCTAGTAACTCTTCTTTCTCTCGTAACTTCACCTCTTCACTTCTGGTTTCTTCTTCTTCCCCCCTCTCTTAGTCATGTATGTTCTTGCCTTCTTGGATAGTTTTGGTTCTTGTTTTCGGTAAGCTTTCATCTTGGATAAGTAGTCTAGTAGACATCCTGCTTTATAGTATCCAACGCATGACTTCTTGGACTAAACTGATAAATACTTTTGAATAATATAAGTAGTCTAGTAGACATCCTGCTTTATGTTGGACTAACGCCCTCATACTCCCTATAAATTAAATTTCAACAATAGACATTAAATTTTGATCACTTATAAAATTTAAATTTTGAAAACTTGGAATATTTATGACTTTTGCTACTCCATCATTAGGATAATAGGATTTGTATCTTTTTATTCATTTCTATGCTTTTAAAACAATTTTAAGACTATTTCAAGACTATTAGGGCCTGTTTACTAACAGAGATATTTTCCTGTTTTCTACTTCTGTTTTTCGTTCTCTAATTTTCTGTTTTTATTTTTCAGTTTTTCTATCTCCAATTTTCTGTTTCTATTTTTTAGTTTTCCATTTTCAAATTTGAAAACATGTTCATCAATTTTTTCACACAGTTCTCCAATTCCACACCCTTGACCCATACCTCTACCCTTACCACGATCTTACACTCTACCCATACTCCACCACAACCCTTCATACCCACCCATACCTACTCGAAGGGGTCAAAGTAGGGAAGTTATGGGTGGGGGTGGGGTAAGGAGTATGGTCGGGGTGGGGTGGTAAGGTCTAGGGGTTGGGGGTTGGGTGGGGGTAGTGGGTGGGTTAGGGTCGTGGTTAGGGTTAAGGGTGGGGTAGTGGGTAGGGTTGGGGTAAGGTAGGGGTAGGGTAGGGAGTTGGGATAGGATGGCGGTAGGGTGGGTTCGGGACCAGGGTGGGGCTGGGGTAGGGTGGGGGTAGGATGGCTGTAAGGGTGGGGCTAGTGGGTAGGGTTTAGGGTTGGGATAAGGTAGGGGTAGGGAGTTGGGATAGGATGGCGGTAGGGTGGGGTCGGGACCAGGGTGGGGCCGGGGTAGGGAAGGGGTGGGGTGGGGGGTAGGATGGCGGTAAGGGTGGGGGGTAGGATGGCGGTAAGGGTGGGGGTAGTGGGTAGGGTTTGGAGTTGGGGTAAGGTAGGGGTAGGGTAGGGAGTTGGAATAGGACGTCGGTAAGGTGGGCCCTGGATCCGGGTGGGGCCGAGGTAGGGTAGGGTGGGGGTGGGGGTAGGATGGCGGTACGAGGGTGGGGGTAGGATGGCGGTGGGGTGGGGCCGAGGTAGGAGGCATGTAGTGAGGGGTAAGGTAGGGGCAAGTGGTAATATACGAGGGGTGGGGGGTGGGTCGGGGTGGGGTCGAGGTGGTAGGGGGGTGGCGGTAGGGTAGGGTGAATTGAGGTGGGGTCGAGGTGGTAGGAGGTGGCAGTAGGGTGGGGTGGATCCGGGTGGGGCCGAGGTCGGGGCATGTGGTGGGGGGTGGGGTAAGGTCATTATAGGGAAAAATGGGTACACGGGGTGGGGGTTGGGTGGGTAGGGTAGGGGTAAGGGGTAAGGTACGAGGATGGAGGTACCGGAATGGAATCGACATCGGAGCGGGACCGGACCCACCACTAGGTGTAAGTATGCAAATTCATTGCAAAGGCACTGTAGCATCTGCGTTTTCCAAATTTGGAAAACTAGTAAAAGTCACTTCTCCAAATCATTAAGGAAAAGAGAGACATGTTTCATTTTTTCCGTTTTGGAAAACGATATGGTAAACACGTTTTTCTTTTTTCCTTTCTCCAGTTTTCCAGGAATTTCTTTGGTAAACACGTTTCCTGTTTTCTGTTTTCCAGTTTTCCAGTTTTCTGGAAAACTGGAAAATATTTCTGTTAGTAAACAGGCCCTTATATTTCTAAATATCTGGCAACTATATTATTAAATTTAATTAATACAGGACCGAGTAATCACCGAGTAATCCCGAGTAATCGGTCCTACTCACTACTCGGCTCTTGACCGAGTTACTACTGAGTAGCGAGTAAACTACCTAGCTAAATGGCGACGGCCGGATAGAGCCTCCTATGTAAGTTCGAGGGCCTATTTGACCATTTTCCCTAAAAAGAAATGTAATGAAAGTCTTGTTAGAGTTTCTTTTTTAAAGAATCTTAGGACCCATTTATTTATTTATTAAGATTTTTATTTCTTATTTTTGGTTTCCATTTTCCAAAATTGAACACATGTTTTTCAAATTTTCTATATTTTTCAAATTTATTTTCATTTTTTTTTTATTTTACCAAAAAAAACGAAGTATACACACCGAGAAAATGAAACCTAATAGAACTAAAGTAAGACCTCAATGTATCCCCATTTAAAAGGAGCATCTGTGCAATGAATTCAAACACCTCATAGAACACGTTATCAACACCTATAACATAATAAATACTACATTCGTCCCATTTTATGTGTTTCCTTTGGTTTTGACACAATTTTTAATAAAATTGTTGAAAAGGTAAAAGTTATAATTGAGATTTGAGTATAGTAAAATGAAATGTTGTGAACCACATATTTCTTTCCAAAACAAGAAAGGTGACACTTATTTTGGGACAATCCAAAAAGAAAAGTACGACATGTAAAATGGGACGGAGGGAATAGCTCTTAATTTTTTTTCCTTCTCTTGGACAGTAACCAGCCATTTGAGTCCACTGTGTCAAACTCAGGTCGAGATTGGTCAGTCATTTCGAAATTGGTAGATTGAATATACGAAAAAGCAATGAGAGGGTCATGATGGATGAACCATCCGCACTGAATGGCCTAGTTTCCGAAACAACACATAATCAATTAACGAACCTATAACAAGTTGCGAAGGGGCATAATGGCGTTTTTTAACAACAATGCTAGACTAATTGGGACAAATAAACTTCCCAAAGCTCACTACGGTTAAATAAGTAGTGGAAAAATCGCTAATGCAAAGGAGGAAGGACGTGTCAACCCTAACTCATGTGGACAAAGTTCACAACGTAGTAAGGTCACAGCAATCATGGAAGTCATGCCGGTCGTGGTATGGGCCGAATTGCCGAAAGGATCTTCTAAAGTATGGAGAAGAGATGTGGGTGTTGACACAAGTGGTCAAGGAAACAAAGTCAACGATGCACCCACAAAGTGTTGGTTAAGAATCTTGCTACAAATGCGGAATTTCTGGACACTAGTTCAAGAATTGACAAGCTAACAAAGTAACAATAATGTCGCAACTGCATACAATAGAATGATAGATATTGAGGATCTAAGGAATAGGAATCTATGTGACCGAAGAAGAAAAAGAGGCTGACGTTAAACATCATCATAAATGGATGACTCGAAGAGAACTTAAGCGTGTAGTATATAGTGCCGTAGTAGGACAACCACACTATCTTAAACAAATATAAACTATTTATAATATCAATATCCCCTACACATGTACTTTTAAGACATTCATAATACCACATTACCACTTGCGGGAAATATATACTATTTACACGAAATATAAACTGCAGTACTATTTATAATATCAACAACTCCTACCCTCCGTCATACACATTTACACTATACATAACAACATTCACACAAGAACATAACATCCCCTTTGTTAGTTTGTTATACGTAGTAACACATAATATGTCCCCTTTTTTGAAAGTTTTCTCATTGAAATTTAACAAAATTAGCCAACTAAACTAATTAACCATTGCAAACAGGCTCCAAAACGTTCACTCGCACTTCCACGTAAATAGTGATAGAAAAACAAAGTTTAATGATTCGTTACATTTAAAATAAATTTGAGAGTTAACAGATATGCCTATCACATTAATGTGTTTTAATGCTACATGCTAACTTCAGATTTGTCATAGATTTCTCACAACATACATGCACGCTCTTCTTTGATGATACTAACCGACTAAAAGTTACACATCATTCCAATCAACTTTCACGCAGTGAACCTGAAAGCATAAGATGGAGTTGCTCATCCAGATACCTTCTTACTCTTCTTTTTCTTCCTCTTTTCCTTGTTTTTCTTTTCACCAGTTACTTCTGTAGGGTCCTCGTCCTCTAAGAGATGTTCATACTCTTCAAGATCGGCGAAAGGAGATGTTGTTTTACGCTTGAGTGTCTTCTCATTCCTTTTCCTAAGATGATTATGATCAATGCTGTCATCATCATGCTCCTCATCTGAGACGTTTGATGGGATGTTTACATCACTATCATCATCGGTGAAATCATCAACTAATTCATCACCACTTGCATCAACTGCCTTGTCCAGATCATCATAATCATAGTCTTCTTCGTCTCCATCTTCCTCAAAATCAGGATCAGCGGTGTCCAACATGTTGTCAATTTCTTCATTGTCACTCTCATCTACATCAAAGTCTTCATCATCATCACTGACTTGCCCGTCTAATATCTCATCTGCCACATCATCCTCATCTCTTGTTTTCTTCTTTTTCTTCAGTTTCTTTGAAGACTTCATCTTGTTTAGGTAGAATTTATGGAAGACTAGATCTTCAGGCGGAACATCTGTTTCGGCTAAAGAGAGAATTTGTTCCCCAAACAATTGATCATTCATCTCAAGCTGCCAAAAAAAAAGAGATATAACGACTATAGACGACAGATGGACCGAAATTATTATCATAGGCAATTATTATCATAGCCTAATATGCACTGGTCTAAATGTTTTTTTGGCTAAGGTTTAAATATGTTAATACCCGCTTTAGTCATGGATTTTTCTAGGAGTCAATTGAATCCTCAACAATGCATTTTAACAATGCATTTTAACCTAATTTAGTTTTCATGCATATTTAGTTCTAAAAGAAGGGTACTTTACTACTTTTATTAATTCACTAAATTTAGACCCAATTTACACTTCAATTTAGTCCTCCCCGTAATTTACTAACTTACTCCTCAACCGACGAAAAAACATTTGATAATAACAGTAATTTATAATTTATATATGAGGACAAAATTGACTCTGAATTGCTTAGTCTAAAATAGTGTCCAAAAAAACAATTCGGCAAATTGTCCAAGGGGCTGCATCAGATATTTAACTTCATGCAATATAAAAAACAATACTGAACTAACCTTCTTGGCAGGTTCAATCTGGGAGGCACCGTGCCACGTGCTTTGTTTTGGTTTCTTTTCCATGAATTTGTCCAAGAATGCTGTCAATGAAAGGTCATTAAGGGGATTCCCATTGTAAACGATGTTGACCCCTGAAAGCAGTGTTCTTGCCATGGTAGCCACTGATGGATGGACATGTGAAGCCAATACAATGAGCTCCCACCAGCTGACTCGGTCTGCATTGCTGCAATGAGAAACTCTAAATTTAGAAAGGCCCTGATACAAGGACCAGAAGTACAACTTTCTGGGTTTTCAAGATTTATCGTAAAGCTCAGTCTACGTTGTCGTTGACACAAAAATTGGCTTTGTGGATTTCAATAAAACATCCCAATTACTTTGACAATTCCTTACTGTTCTCCATTGACCAAATTTGCTTGTTCCGTTGTGTCTGAGCTTTTTGTATCGCCCTTTTTCCAAATTTTACCCTTTGTATACTTACAGAACATGAAAATTATACTGTATTGAATGAATGCATTTTAGATTAAATTAAAAAAGTTTTGATTTATCACACCAACACAGACAATCAAATAAAAATAATGGAGGACTGTTTTAGCTAGGTTTGGTAGCCACAATCGGCATATATTCTAATTATTTGGCTTAAATGGATATCACCAAGCACTATTACTTTAAAAAATCAACCATTTCAGCCAAATAACCCTTACCAAACCAGGCCTTTGGTTATTTCAACAAGCAAGTTAACAGAGGTGTACCAGAAAGAAGGTTCTCTGTGCCGAGGGTTGTATCCACCTGGCATAAAAAGATTTCCGTTTTTACTTTGGGCTTCAAGTTTGCTCAAATCAGAGCTTGGTGTGGATTTATTTGGTTCACGTGAGCCTCTTTTTGCAAACAAATCATCAAGTTGACCGTCATCCTCGGAATCAAAAGAGCCTTCCTCAAGGGAGGAACTTCCACTATCTGATTCATCATCTGGCTGAGCAGCTCTCTCCACGTCAACTGTTCCACCATTTGTTGTAGGACTTTCTTGATTTTCATCTTCTTTAACATCTTCAAAATGTTCAAGGTCATCATCAACAGAATCAAGTTGAAGCATCATGTTCCTAGAAGGATCATAAGCATTATTATTCTTATCAAAAGTTTTTAGGATAGGAAATCTATTTAACTTGAATAATAAAATACTAAAAGTAAAAGGAGTCGTACCAAATAGGTGGTCTTTCCTTGAGGACTTCAGAGAGAAGGAAAAGGCATCCACATGCATATTGAGGCTGCTGCTGTATAGATACCTGTTTTAATAGTACATAAAATGCTGTTGTAAGTCTCAAGAAAATACCAACACTAGCCTAGCTAAGAGTTATTAAGTGTTAAACAAAAAGAGTGTAAATGGGACTATGTTATGGTCAGTGGCATGACATTTATAATGCAAATTAATTCTCAAGAACTACGTAACAAAGAAATGAACACCCAAGGGATTAAACTGACACACATACACATGCATTCATACACATGCATGCATACATATTTATACATATAAATAGAGAGAGTGCGTGTCTATTTATTGCTATTCTCCCCTTTAAATGGTAGAATATTGAACTTTTAATTCGCATAGACTGATATTAGTTACAGCCAAGGTGGAAGGCTATTGAACTTTCAATAAATCAAGCAGGAAGGCTATTACCTCCGTCCCATTTCATGTGTCTTGTTTTGGTTTGGCACAATTATAATAAATTCTTGAATAAGTAAAAGTTATGGTTGATATTTGAATATAATAATGTGAAATGTTGTGAGCACATATGAAACTTATTTTGGGACAACCCAAAAAGGAAAGTAAGACCGATTAAACGATGCGGGGGGGGGGGGGTATAAGTTTGTTAGGGTGCACTTAAATGAATCTGGTACAAAATGCTCTTCATATACATCTGTTTGAATTAGAATTTAGAGTAAGCTGCAGCCTAGAAAATTGATCGCATTTACATCATTTAGACGAAACTAAACAAATACCCTGAAACTAAGGAACTTGTTTGGACAAACCTATGAAACAATAGGTCAAAAGAAACATGTGAAGATCGATTTTCAAAATTCGAGATGAAAAACTATTCAGAAGAAATATTTGGAACTTAGACTAACCTGCAGCAAACGCTTTGCAAAAGCAGCAACTCGTTTCAAATTAATATCATTTTTCATGGCCCTTAGAAGTAGGCCAATAAACATTTCTTCCTGGAGCAGAGCATAAGGTACTAAAATTAGATTGTCATGCGGTAGAAAAAGGAAAGAATGTAGAATCATTCGACAAATAATAAAAGATGCACAACAATATCTAGATACATAGCACAGTGGATAATTCACCACTTGTGACCATATAAAAGAAAATCTAAATGCAAAATCAGCCTTTATGTCAAATTAGATAACTCTATTTACCTTTGAAGAATTCATAGCAGCTGGTAGTAGCAGCTTTGAGTATAAGGCACGGTAAAATCTATCACTGACAACTTGATTTTTTGATGAAATCTTATCAAGCAACAATAGAGCTTGAACCCCGACATTGAAGTTCTTAGAATGAACCTGTGCATGCCAGCAAAACATATTAGGATTTAGGACAAACTCAAAGTAGTATCAAGCTTTCTGAATAAACAGCAAATAAAAAAAACAGAGTGACAAGCTGAAGACAAGCATTTCCGTGTTTAGTTCAACAGATAAGGAAATGCCACAGTTACCAGCTGAAACAACACAGGTGTCTGGGCCTGAACAATCTCATCAGCTTCAACACTTGCAACATAAGGGAAGGCTCTATTCACACCCTGTAAAAAGGGTTATTAGCTTACGTATTATTTTAAGGAAGCTGTTGCTTTTCCAATGAAAACATAAAATTCACACTTGCATTTTCATAGAGCACACAAACACAAGAACTAATGAAATATTGTTCATAAATACCAGCAAAAGATGAATTGTTGAAGAGTTGGTTCAGCCTAGATAACAAAATATACTCCCCCGTATTGTGAGGTTTACTACCATAGGGTTTGGCACATTATTTAAGGGAAAAGTAGTAGGGGTAATGAATAGGTAGAAAAAGTAGGAGGGGGTGGAAAAGTATGAAAGAGAAAAAAAAAGTTGAAATAATAAGGGTAATTGAGTATTTTAAAGGGAAAACTTAACAAAAAGGGAAAGTGTAGCAAAAACTAAAATACATCCGAAAAGGAAAGTGTGGCAAACAAAAGAATATGGTGAGTGTGTATAGAAAGATTAAACCGAGTGTTGCTACTGACAGTTAAAAGGGCTGACAATAACCGCGAATCCAACTCCACATGCAACTCCGGCGTATTTTCCAATTCACTATCTTTTACATTATCCTTTGAATTTTTCCTTCCATCCTTTTTGTTCATCTTTTGTCCTCTATCCGCCTCAGAAATCAATACCTGGAATAGGATTTTGAAAAATGAATATAAGAAAACCTTACTGATCTAGGAAGTTTAGTTCAGTGCAACTAGTTATTATTATTTGCCAAATTTTGACGATCAAAAATCTAGGACATTGAAATGCTTATATTGCATAGAAGTAACAAGAAAACAAAATACATGTAGCTAATATAGGGTAGCTTTTCCATTACCTTAAATAGGGCAAAATACACTTCTATCAAACGTTTTGCTATCTTAGGACCATCTCCCCTGTGACTCAACTGAACTTGGCTCAAAAAGTTGATCTGTCAATTCAATAAAGTCTGTTAGGGGTAAAATTTTAACTGGGGAGATTTTAATCTGAAGAGCATTGAATTCAGAACTCCATAATAATCTGAAGAAACAATTAAAACATTAAAGGTAACACGTTGAAATAGCTTGACATACAGCATGGTATTTGGCTCGCATTCCCAGATGAGGACGGAAAAGAAAATTGTCGACTTCATCAATCACCACAGCCTGTAAGAGTCAGGGGGAGAAAATAGAGACATTAAATGTTAAACAATTTCAGGTCATATAGATCTCTCCTGTTACAATAATCTTTCTACACAATGTTTCCCTATATATATAATTTTCGTAAATAACTTTAAGGCTCATTCATTCAGCACAGCTTTCTGAATTCATGACTCCCAGATCACAGAGTTATAGCAGGACACACACATAAAAATCACAATCTAAATGTTGTAATAGGAGTAGAGAATATAATTGTGACAGTGTGAATGTATTTTAAATTTTGGCATTTGTACTGGCGGAATACCAAACTTTCATTATTTCTAATAATTGATATCTTTGTTGTTTTTATTGTTTTTTATTTATACATCAGCAGTTGTATACTTGCGAGATGGTTTTTTTTATCTAAGCAATTCCAAGAAGAAAGATATGAGTGAGTCGTGCTGTGTTAGCATCCTTTATACTCTGTATTAAAAGAAAATAAGTGATTACAAAAAGGTTGCTCATTGACCATAAAATAGTATATGTTGGCCTCAAAGTTTTACCAAGTATTCTTCATTTGTCCCTTACTCCCTTTAATGAAGTCCATGTGTGATTGGGAGAGAAAGGCTCTTCGCTTGAGCCTTAGACACCATGCAGAAAAGACAAAAAAAATCTCACTACCTTCATATTTGGATGTTCTCCAAGGAGCTTTAATAGGTGAAAATCAGCATTAGATGCAACTTTGTTATTAGGATCTCCCAGCTGCAGGAAAGAAAAATCTCAAAGTAATGTAATACTAGTATATACTCCGTAATTCCGTATTTCCCTTAGGAACTAACAATATTAACAGTGAGTGACAAAGAAATACTTTGTTAACTAAGGCAGAGAGCAGTCGGCGTTCTTGTTCTGATTTGCTCCTCAGCAACACATAGACAGTCTTCATTAAAAAAAAGGAGCTTGATAAGATTTCTTTTTCCCTAGATAATAAAATAAAATCGTAACTTGTTTGAATCTCTAAAGGAACGCATAAGTTGAATCAATTTATGCTTATAAAAATCATTCCTTTGCATAAATATTTTGTTGAAGAAAATAACCAATGTACTATGAAAATCGTGAGAAACTAGGATAGTTAGTTGATACTCTGTCATAAAGAGAGAGGAAATACACATATGCAACTGTCTAAAAGGTAGAAAAGGGTAATAAAAAAGGAAAATGCTATATTTAATAAACCTTTAGTGCCTTGTCCTTGAGGGCATCTAACACATCTCTTGAAGCTTCCTCAAGAGCAATAACAAACCGTTCATACCTGCACTACCAATTAGGTCAATAACAAAAACTAATTAATTTGAGGATTATTATTGTTTATTCATTTTCAACAAAATGAAAAGATAGTTGGTGATATTCTAACAATATGAAATGCAAGAAGTACCACTTCCTACAATATTGGAGTTTCATAACCAATAAAAGAACACAGAAGAGATGAAATTAATCCCTACAGAAGTTTAAACATCAAAGTACCTTTGCTTTAAGCAATCCTCCCAATACCATAAGAGCAGAAGAGAGTGACCATCCTTCGTGTCAGGGAGATGATTTAGAGGCCGCACAGAGAGCGTCTTCAGTTTGCGATCAGGTAACAGACTAGGAAAGAATTAGAAAGTGTCAAAATATTCAAATCCCAACATCAAGTGCAAGAATTACACTTGCAGACTGTAAAATGCATCATGTGCCACAATAAGGCTGGAAATCAGTTCATTTTGTTTAACAAGAAATATTTAGGGAAAGTAACAACAGTTCAAGGGAATATCTTTCCCACTTCTCACCTAGAAACAAAGAGCTCCCTTAAGGCATCATAACCTGTCAGGGCATGTCGCTTGCCAACTTTTGATGTAACCATTCCTGCAATCCATTGTAAATTTTATTAGCCTAAATATCATTATAGAGATCTTTTTGTGTGTCCTAAATTCCAGCAATTTAATTGCTCAAATTTCTAAAGCTACCTAAATCCAGAATTAATTACTTGGGGGCAAAACAGAAGCTTATGTTGAAGTAAGCTTAAAACCAATCCAACCCATATTTAATTAAACACATTCTCGCCATTTAAACTGATTCAATAGATGATATGAGATGCTACTAATCTTATTTCAACTATCTTTTCAAAAATACTTAATTTACTCCAACAGTTGTTTTGGCCAACTATTTCACGCTTTCCTGACAGACAAATTTTAGAAAGCTTACCCAAAAGAACATCCAGCGACCTCATATTTGCAACAGGGTTATCTGCAACAGAGATAGAAAAGGCAGAGACCTTATCAGAAGCTGTCCCAGACCTCTGTGTGTTAGCCAGCATCTTCACATCTGCACTAGAAGACTCGTAGTCAGCAGTGTACTGAGCCATTAGCCTCTCTCCCAATTCCTTTTTCTTCTGCACTAATGCCTTCCATTCCTCAACGCTCTTGCACTCAACCTTCTTGTTCCCAACCAACTTCTCCTCCAGTTGGGCAGCAACCTCATACCACACTCCCAAAGTATTAGCTTTAATAAGAGGCAGCTTAGGAAGACCCTTATATTTGTCATAAGTGTTAGATAAATTATTATTGGCCAAGTCTAACGGATTCCTCCGAGGTGGATGAAGTTTCTCTTTTTGTTTGATTTTTTTGTCTTGAACCTTGTCTTTAACGTTCTCATTCCTTTTCTCGGAGTTCTGACTAGGTAGTTGTTTTTTGAAGGGTTTGGCCAGAGAAGGTTTCCGGAAATCAGAGTCATCGAAGCCGGAAGTAGTAGAAGGGGCAGACGAGAGGCCGAGAGAGGAAGCGAAAGAAGCGACTTCCTTTTGCAGATCATCAATGTCACCTGAAGGTTTAGATGCTTTCTTCGTTTTTTTATCTTTGGCCATTTCAATGTGGCGAAGAGGTTGGAATATTTGCTGAACTGAAGAAAAGAAGAAGAAGAAGAACAGAGTAAAGAAAAAGATTTTGCAGGTGAAGGGTTTATGGGCAATTGCGGGCTACCGGTATACTAGTCTTTGATGGGCCGATTAGTTTTCGAACAAATGGGCTTGAGATGGGTCAAGGCTAAGGCAGATTATATATGGCCCGTTACTAAGCCCAAATTCTACAAACAGATATATAGACTAGGGTTTCGTTTCCATTCTTATATACACCGTCCTTATCACTTTGCTGTGCTCTCGCAAAACCTTCGTGCAGGCAGAAGAAGCATAGCAAACATGGCGGCAGCCGCGCAGCAACAGCCGAGAGTGTTGTCAACGAAAGAAGCCGACATTCAGATGATGTTGGCTGCTGATGTTCATCTCGGCACCAAAAATTGTGACTTTCAGATGGAGCGTTATGTCTTCAAACGCCGAAATGATGGTTAGTCGATTTCTCTTACCCATTCGCTCACTCTTGAACGTTCATGTTACCATTCGTATATGCTTCAGAATTCGCACCCACTCGATGGTTTTCCGCGTGAGTCGGATTAATGTTTCGTACTTTTTTGTTGGATTCCATATAAGTAGTTTACCAATTATGAAATCACGTCGATTTGCTAAATAGAATTCGGATTTTAGTAGGAAAATTGCCACGGATAATATAAATTACTAAGGTTTGTACTTTTTCCATCATTCAGTTAAAGAAAAGTTAGTGGTTACAGTATAGTTGAAAGCTCAAGTATGTGATAATTTGAGAAATATGTTTGAAGTCTGAAATACTAATTAGAAAGAGATATTAGCATATGGACAATGAAGTGTGTCTAATGATATGAGCGCTATTATGCTAACAATTTTGAAGAGACAAGCTACCCATTGATATCTTTTTCTTGCGTGTTGACAGGAATTTTCATCATTAACATCATGAAGACATGGGAAAAGCTTCAGCTTGCTGCACGTGTCATTGTTGCTATTGAGAACCCTAAGGACATTATTGTACAATCTGCTAGAACATATGGTCAGAGGGCTGTCTTGAAGTTTGCTCAGTACACTGGAGCCCAAGCTATTGCTGGACGTCACACTCCTGGAACTTTCACCAACCAGATGCAAACCTCATTCAGTGAACCCCGCCTTCTCATCCTAACTGATCCAAGAACTGATCACCAGGTTACCCCTCTCTGGCCTCTGTTTTAGAATCATTGGTGTAGGATTGAGTTGTAAATAATGTAGTAGTAGCTAATTCATATTTTATATTTAGATTTTATCTTTTATTTGAAACATTTGCAGCCCATCAAGGAAGCAGCCCTTGGGAACATTCCCACTATTGCTTTTTGTGACACTGATTCACCCATGCGCTATGTTGATATTGGAATCCCTGCGAACAATAAGGGAAAACACAGCATTGGTGTTCTGTTCTGGCTCTTGGCAAGGATGGTGCAGCAGATGCGTGGTGCTATTGCTCCAGGCCACAAGTGGGATATCATGGTATATACTTTTATTACTGTATTGTTTGTTGTTTATTGCATCTCCGTTTGAGAGTTTTTGTGGATTGGCGCTGTTTTTATTGTTTTATTATTCTCTGAGCTCTTTGTATTTATTTCTGTTCTTTTAACTTCATATTTTTACATTCCTAGCTAACTCAAGATCTGCTTCATCTATTTCCTATGTGCTATTTTTTTCTATAATTATGTAAAAATGAATTGTCGATACTATGTTGGCCACCCTCATGCAGTTAGGAATGCAACCTCTGTTATATTTGTCCATTCCTAAGATCAAATAAGCGTCTAATTTTGCCGAATATAGAATCTATAACTCACATTCCACCATTGCCTCTCCAATTTTAAGTACCATGTTTCTATGTGTCCAAGTTACACTATGGTTTCTTATAGTAATATCAAACATTACATGGTGTATGTGTTTTGACATTGTATGATGTGGTGCTTTGTCAGGTGGATCTCTTCTTCTACAGGGAGCCAGAGGAGTCTAAGGAACAAGAGGAGGAAGAAGTTGCGGCGATACAAGATTATCCAGATTACAGTAATACTGCTATTGGTGTTGACTGGGGTTCTAGCCAGATCACAGAGGGCCAATGGAATCAAGACACAGTTGCTGCTCCTGCTGGTGATGGTTGGGCTGCGGATGCTGGTATGTCTTACTACATACTCGATATATCAATTAATTCCTTTCAAACTTGCTTAGGAATAAATATATTATACAAATACAAAATTGCTATTTTTTTGACATTATACGAGTATCTATATGTTATCATTATGTAGTATTTTACTTAAATCTCATTGACCAAGTTATAATCCAATATGAGAATAGCAGTGTTTTTGTAGTTTTTTCCTTTCAATACCCGTTTGACCTTTTCTTTGTAGACAGTACACTATAGTTCTAAAATTTAATTGCGCGCTTTTTAAAGTATGTCATGATTGTTATCCATGTGCCTATTTTGTTTGACATTCTAATTTTTATTCCTTTTCCCCTATTGCCAGCTCCTGCTCAAATCGATGGAGGATGGGATGCTGCTGCCCCACCACCGGTTCCTGTTGTTGTACCAGGTGTGGTCGCGGATAATGCAGCAACTGGGTGGGACTAAAAATCTACAGACTGTTTCTTCTTAAAGAATGCTAGATTATCTTCCGCTCCTTTCATGAATTTATATGATCAATTATTTACGATGTTGTAGTAGTTTTTCTTCATGCAAAGAATTTTGACTGGTTTTGAGCGTTTTTAACTTCCCATACATTTTGTGTTTGCCTTCCAGATTATCTGTTAAATGCTGATTTTTGTTTGGTCTTGTTTCCACTGCATATTAGTGGTGAACATAGTTAGGGGTTAGATTTGTTCAGTAGAAGCCATTCTTTAGTAATCGTGCATGGAATTATTTTAAATGATTTGGTTCAAGTAAAAAAACTGCGTCGTGATGATATTTTCTTTAACCAACAAATCCATTAATTAAACCAATGCTTCTCAATGAAGTCCATGGATTTCTACAGGGTATATATATAACATACTGGGTAGATATAGTATTTTCCCGTAAAATTTCCTTTAAAAAGATGGGTACCGATTCTGGGGCTGAATACTCGTATAAGATTTTTTAATAATAATTGTTATTTTAAGAGTTTTTATTTGAACTGACTAAAAACCGATTATTTTGACAGCTCTAAAATGCTATGATGTTGGTTATCTATATCAATGCTCAAGAATAAATATCTATGCATTATAAAATTCTCTTTGTGAGATCATAATATTCCAGATTTCCAGTAAAACGGCTTTACATATTCTGACATGTGAACATCAGATTATCAGAACATAGACGGTGAATGTGAAGTTATTTTCACTTTCTCAGTATAATGTACATAATAACTACATATGTTTTAATAAGAAGTTATTTTTAATCTCACTGTGTATTACGTATAACATAGTTTCCTCAGAGGAATAAATCCCCCAAAGAAATTCTAGATTTCTTGTTGCTTGAATTAATTGAATTTATTGAATTATAAAAAAATCAAAACAAATTTTACTAATAAGATCCTCTAGTGTCGATTCAGTTGGGAAAGTAATATTAACCTTATATATTTTTATTATCCCATAAGATCATACTCTCATCTCAGTATCTCACTTTTGGTGATGTTACACCATTGTCAATTCATACATTATTTTATTACTTGAACTATTTTGATTTCTATCATCTGAAAAATCCCATGCACATAAATTAGGAGTATTCTTTAGGGGTGGCTCGGTCCGATCTGACCGGCTCGGACCGCCACTGTGCGGGACCGGACCAGCCCGGTTGGCCGGGACCTGTTCCGGGCCTAGGACTGGCCAGGGAGAATGGGGAAATAGGGACCGGCCCGGCCGGTCCGGGTCCTGTCCGGGCCCTTTTTTTTTTTTTTAGTTTTTTAGGGTTTGGGTTATGGTAGGTAGGCTGGACTGGGTGTTTTGGTGGGGTTTGGGGGGTGGGGGTTGGAATAAATAAGAAAATCTAAAAAAAAAAAAGTGCAAGAACCGGCCCGGTACCGGTAGACTCCCGGGCCGGTCCCGGGCCTTACCCAAAAAATTCCAAGGGGTGAACACGGGCCGGGCGGCCCGACCCGGCCCGGTCACTGTTTGAACTGGCTCGAACCGCCGGCCCGGCCAGGGACCCGCTGGGGTTCCGGGGGCCCGACCCGCAGGGGTTCCGGGCCGGGCTTGGGCCCTTGAAAAGGTGAACCGGCCCGGCCGGTTCGGGCCCGGTCGGTTCGGGCCCGGTCCGGGCCTATTTATTATTTTTTTCTTTTTTTTTTGGAATTTTTTTAAAGTTTTTGGGTTTGGCTGGGTATTTTGGGCCGTTTGAGGTGGTTGGGGGTGGTTTGGGGGTGAGGGGGGAGGGCTGGGGGTTACCCGAGCCGGTTCCGGGCCTCCCCTTTCATGAACCGAGGCCCGGCCGGGCCCGAACCGGCCCGCTCTATTCCTAGTATTCTTAACCCCGAGTCCATAACAAGTCTGGACCGGATGTTCAAAACCTTCTAACTGGTTTTGCTTCTTCCAAAATAAATTTAGGATCAGTCTGTTTCAGTCAGTGACTTTACATATTCTTTTAATACTGGGCTCAAGAAATAAGCCGGGAACACAACCAATTTCTATAGTCACGATTACACGTAATACTAATATTGGATCCGGAGCCTAACCGTTCTAAAAAACTGACTGCATAGCCGTTTACCGAAAATTATCTCAACTATTTTAACCGGTTAACCTAGGCATGGACTCGGGCCGGGTGGCCCGATCCGGAATCGGCCCGGCCCGAACCGGTGGCCCGGCCAGAGACCGGCCCTGGGGTTAAACGGTGCGGGCTCGGGTTACCCAAAAGACGAACCGGCCCGACCGGGCCCGGTTCGGGGGGTGGGGGTGGGGGGTCGAGGGTTAAGTAGAAAAGCAAAAAAAAAAATAAGTAGCCCGAGGCCCGGCCCAGCCCAGCCCGTACCCGCCGGTTCCAGGCCTTTCCCCAAGCCACAAAAGCCCGACCGGGCCTAGGCCCGGCCCGGGTCTAGGCCCGGCCCGGGTCCATGACTAGGTTAACCTAGCAGACAAGCTGTGTTTAAGCAGTTAAACAAGCCATTATACCAGCTGAAAACACAAACACATATTAGCGCAGCCTTCCTTAAACAGTTAAACATATAAACACAATGATGCTCGTAAATTAATGAATCTTAATGCTAAAAAAAGTGTCCGTATAAATGAATAATTTTGAAACTGTCCATATAATCTGTTAGCAGTACATTACATTAAAATGACAATGTACTGTCCCGATTCAAATGGCATCACATTAGAGTTGGGGGTAATACAAAGAAGAGCTAATTATAAAGACAAAAAACATTTAATCTGGGATCATCTTTATTATTAATTGAATACATTCCCCTCTGAGTCTCTGACCCGTTATTGTTTGACAAGTTTACCACATGGAATAAGATACAGAAATCGTGACTTAACTCACCGAAGTTTGCATAGATTGTAGAGGAGAAAAAAAGTAATACTCCGTATGATTTACTACTTTAGACTTCAATTATGGGACTATCTATTTGCTACTCATGATTCAAGAACCATGAAAACGGATAAATAGGAAAATGCAAAAATTTTGTGATAACCTTGAGGTAGTGTAACAAATCAACACCTAGGGGTGGACCAGGCCCGTTCCAGTTTCGGTTCGGGCCTGAGCCCGGCCGGGCTTGGATGATTTTGGGTAAGGCCCTGGACCGGCCCAGGAGTCTACCGGTTCCAGGCTGGTTTCAGTTCAATTTTTTTTTCTTATTTATTTCAACCCCCCATCCCCCCGCCTCGAAAACCCCTGGGGAACACCCAGCGCAGCCCACCTAAATCCAGCCCAAACCCAAAAAAAAGGCCCGAATCGGGAACAAACCGGCCAGGCCGGTTCGCCTTTTTCATGACCCGGAACCAGAACCTATTACCCCCTCGGGCCGGACCTAAGCCCGGAACCGGTTTCCTGGGCCGGGCCGGTTCTGCACAGTAGCGGGCCGGGCCAGTTCCCGGGCCGGGTGACCCGAACCGAGTCCATGCCTATCCACACCCAATTAAAATAATACAATTGAAAATGCTTTAAAACTAAATAAATGTTGAAATTATTACTTGGGCTAGTCAAAGAATGATAGATATGGTATCCTCATTTCTTTTAGGTGCCCTAGCATTCACCATGTTACTTGGGCTACTAGCATGGACATGATAGTCAATGGACATAAAAAAAGATCAACTTGATCGGATAAGAAATGCCAAATATGATCACTTTCTTACAATCTCTCTAGCAGACTCAAGAATTGATCTATGTTACCATTTCTTTTCTTTCATAATAATAAATTAATAATACGGAGTAACTGATAACATGGAACAGCGATATTGTTAGATAGATTTGCACACACAAAAAAAGTGTCATTCCTCAAGCCATACATTGGATTATATATTTATATATAAACAAACCGCCTACTTCAAAGTCATTACCACCCCTACCCTATCCCCACCATTCCCGTCCTACCCAACACACCCCACCCGAGAGTAATCCCCCACCCCGGTCCCCAAACCACACCACCCAGCCAACTAACCACAATGTGTAATACTATCAGTTTACACTGGGGGGGGGAATGAAAGCCGAAATGGTAGTTTATCATCAAAGAACTCATCTATGTACAAGATCTGTAATACGAAGTATTCAGCATTGGAACGCGGTCCCAGAAAGAATATGACGTAAATAATATTTACAGTGGTGTTTCCTTTGGCCTATCTGACTATAACCAAAATCTCAAAGCATTTTTCTCGCCTTTTGTAAAACCCTGATAGCCGGTAAGTTTTATTACTGTGAGTAAACCACATCCTTCGGACGGGTTGACCGAATTGTTATGATATTACACGAAATGTAACCTGTTTGGAATCCATCCAACTTCAACTTCAACTTCAAGGGAAAAGCATGTCTCCAAACGTAACCCAGTGCACAAATTTTTCAGAAAATTCACCCAGTGGTAGGTTTTCTTGCGCCACGTCATAATGTATGCAATCTCCATTAGTCTGTTGGATATTTAATTCCACGGTCAAACCCCAGTGGAGAGCAGTATATTGTAAAAGATTGATTAATATACTTTTCGTCCCTACAAATATCACTCTTTCGTTTCAAGTCTTTGACAGATCAATTTTTTTGTTATTCGTTCCTTCCATATACAGTTTTCCGTTCGGAAAAAGTGTAAATATACCCTTGTATAATGGGTGTGAGAACAAATATATCTCTGTTCTATTTTTTGGAAAAAATATGTCCCTAAAGTATATATTGAAGTGCATATGTACCCCTGAACTTTCAAAAAAGTGCAAAAATACCCCTCATGTTTTTATAAAGGAGCAAATTTGCCCTTATTGACTATAAATAGATAAACTAAATTTCAAAAAAACACCAAAAAAATTATAAATTCGAAATTTAAAAATAAAGAATTATTATGTTAAAATATTAACATAAAATTCAAAAATTATTATTTTTCCGTTGTAAATGAAGCACTCTAAATTCATCAATTAGTCTTGTTGAAAAATTTTGAACACATTATTACATTTTTTGATACAACATTTTTTTATTTTGTTTAACCTTAATAAAATTAAATTCACTATTTTTGTAATCTTGGACTATTTATCATCAAACAAAATATGTAATTTTATAGTGCAAAGAATGCAAAAAAATTAATTTTTTTTTACATTGCAAAACATTTGTCAACACTTTTTCGAAAGAATCTTGAATGTATAGTAAAGTTTTGAAATGCTCCCTCCGTTCTTTATTAAGAGAGTATATTAAGTAGAGTAAAGTGATGATAAAGTAGGAAAGAGAAAGTAGTTTGTAAAAAGTAAGAGGGGTAAAAGTAATAAAAGTGAGGGTATTTTATCAAAAACTTTCTTAAAATAGAAAGGACATTTAATA